GGGGGGGGGCGGCGTCAGCCGGGAGAGCCGATTTACGCATAGCAAATTTCTCACAGGAAGGAGAAGCGCCCGCGAAGCCGGGCGTCACCATTAGAAGGAGGGAAGCCCGGCGTTAGTCAGGCGGCCCTACTGGTTTCTGTTTAAGAAATGCTAATCTTGGCAAGGGATAAATTTGACAGTGAGTGGTAGGAACTCAAGGAGAACGACAATATTTCAACAGGAGGAATGTTAACAAAAATGACGGAATTTTCTACATCTCCTATAACTACACCTCACTAGGAAGATCACCTTTCCATTACAACTCAGATCTCACCACCATAGAAACTAAGTATACAGTTTCTGAGCAATTTGATGACTGATATGTTCAATGGTAATAAGATCAATTGGTAGTGGCCACTCAAACACAGGAATTTCAGTTTTGGGTCAACAATAACCAACCGCTATTGAAGCCCTCTACAATGGGATACCAACTGCTATCATTCTGCGGGGCGCGTATCGTGAAAACAAAACTCGTCGTTAAGGATTCGATGCTATTAATGAACTTAGAACTAACATTAGCAAGCCATAGAAGTAATATGCAAAAAAAAAAACTTTCCATCGAAATTAAGCTTGGAGAGAACGAACCCATAAGGTTTCCTCGAATACGTCCTTCTTTTCCTTTCAACCGTTGCTTGATCGACTTTAATGGCCTCCCTCCTTTTTGCGTGGCCTGAAAAGAGAGTAATGAACACTTTTAAAGAAGGGACTCGAATCCCTCAATAAAACATACTGTTGGAAGGCCGGGAATACAGTTATCAACCAGTGTTGCCACATGATACTGCAACAACTTCACATCGTCAGCTAGGACGTGAGCGGCCGCACCATTAGCCTCGTTGCTAAATTAGCCATATCTTTTGAAAAAAAGACCGGGTTCAACAAAAAACGCTGTACTCACTTTCTCAACTGTATATTTGTTTTAATAATATCGGAGAGCTTGTGTGTCAAGTCATCTTGATTTCTAGCCGATCCGAAAGTTACCACAGCTGGACGAACCGCCAACGGAGGTACTGGCAGCACTGTGCAAATCATCCAATCAGGACGAGCAAAGCGAGGATCCATACCTGCAATTTGCACAAATTATTACATTATAAAAGTGGCAGTGTTACATTGAGTGCTTTTACCTAAGATGACACAATCTTCATCAGCAATCTGCTTGAAGATTTCAAGTGCTCGCTCTGCTGTGAGGAAGATTTTGCGCTCCTGAAAGAGTCGTTCATTAAACGGTTGAAAGTCAAAATTCAGAAGACTTTTATGAAGCTGAAGTTGGGTTAGTAACCCATGAGTAATATAATAGTCAAGAGAGACGAAAACAAGATTCATGACACAAGAAAAAATGTATAGGACTTTTACTAAACTACAACTACAGCTACAACGAATCTGCTAATTAGCGTCACCTGAGTATCCTCGTTCACATTCTTCTTCCACTCAGCATGGATATCTATTCCAGTGCGACGATATGAAGGCTGATATCGACCACAACCACCCGCCTTTATGACTTTTTCGCTATCATCTCCCTCCTTCAAACATTATTAAATAGAAACACTTCTCGGCAAGAATAATCAAGGTATAACAAAAATGGGACAATAAACATCATAAAAAAATACCTCAGGATTTACATTCTCAATTTCGTTTCCACCGTCACAAACCACTTTTGATTTGCACATATCATATATCAAGGTTAATCTCCTTCGAGGATTGCCTTAAAAATATACTTAGCAATATTAAGGGTGCACATGCTAATGTTGCTGCACGAGTACCTTGTGTTTTTCTTATAATATCTTTTACACGTTGATTATCCTTATCTAGCAGTAACTTACTACAGTAAAAACAAACACAGCGAAGAATCTGAAAAAAAATTGAACACATCAATTCTTCATATAAGACAGCACGAACGAAAAACGTACTTTAAGTGTTTTTGTGAGAAAACCAATATGAAATACAGGTCTAGCGAGCTCTAAGTGTGCAAAGTGTCCAGGACAGTCAGCCAAGTTGCCCGCACAAGTCATGCATCTAAAGAATTCATGGGCTGAGCAGTTTATACGTGATTTCAAACAATTACTATACGCAAACAAAGCACGCAAAGAAGCAGAAACATGCAGCACCTTCCTCTGCGGTCAATGACTCCTTGTCGAGGATCCATCAGGCCTCCTTTTTTAGGTTTACCATTTTCATAAATTTCCGGGAACTCAATTTCACCAACTGACATTCGTTTCTATAAATATCAAATAACCAAACTCTATTTCAGGCAAGGATTGAGGCTTGGAAAAGAAAAACAAAAAAAAAGGTAAAAAGTAAAAGGAGAAAGCTAAGGTAACGCTAACAAAACAAAAATAAAAACTACTCATGTGCAACTTACAATTTCATCAGGGCTCAAGATTCCAAACTGAACTCTTTTGACTTCTCTCAGAGGAGCACGAAAGTCTATCCCCACGAGAGCCATTTTTGTGGGGAGTCTGACAAGAAAGTCAAATGTAAGAACTCAAAACATGAAAAATCCGCGACAAACGTACTCGACCTTACAAGTGACGTCGGCTAAAAGAGACACCCAAAGTCATACGTTTATAGCACACCTAATGAACATAATTAAACAATTCTGAACTCGATTGCAAGTAACCAGCTCTACAGGTAGAGCATCTGAAGCTCTCTTGAAGCTTTGTTTTCGAAATTGCTTTCTGCGAGCGGCGTGAGCGTGCACTGCATTGGAGCGCGGAATTTTCTGTGGTCGAAAGCAACAGCACCCCTTGCTTGGCCATACGCCATCATAGCACATCGGTTCGCTGTGTCGATAGCAAGCTGTTGATGGTGGAGTGATGAAGGGAACGTTTAGGCAATTGGATAAGCATATTATCGACAGTACTTCGACAAGACCATTGGTGGTGAAAGGGATTTAGTTTTTATTTAGGGCCGCTGAACCATTCTAGGGAATTTCAGACACGGATTTGGTTGGCCCGAAGTAGTAGCTTGCTATTCAATATAAAGTAATAATAATGGATATCAATGTGAAATTCTCCAAATAAAGTATTAGGCTAATGCATAATTATTGCGGATTTTTTTTGCGGCTTTTTTCTCTCGATAGAATTTGAATATTGAGTTCATGTTTTTTCTAGGAATGATCTACTTGATTGCCTCTACAAGAATATACTCAGCAAACCTTTCGCACGCATATTCGCAAGTTAGGCTTTACTACTTCGAGAAAGATTGGAAGGTGGCAGTCATTCCGCGATCTCAGTAACTTTCCAGCGATCGTTCATTAGGTGATCTAGTGAAAGTACACATGATTTACTGGCGGTCAAACATGATTATTTTGATATTTTCTATTTCCCCTGCATTTGACCTGCCTCTATATATTAAGTTGATGCATAATTATTGCGGATTTTTTCCAGCAAATTTTATTTAACGAAACGATAAAAAATACTGAACAAGAACATGTTCAAATGATTACTCTGGAACAAATTCAACATCTACGTCAAGCACTGCTTCCCATTGATTAGTTAGTCGGATCCCAGAGTGAAGAAGTTTTGATCCTTACGGGCGATTCACGCCTTGACATCGGCCATCAAGTCATCCAAATCGACGTGACTTCTACTCTCTAGCCATTTTTCGATGAACCGTTGACGAGATAATCCATAAAAGTTTCTGCTGGTAAGTATGGCAGATTTAGGGGCAGATCCCATTTCTTGGTTGGCTCTGGCTGATTGTTCGATCGCCGAAAAGTTACTGAGATCGCGGAATGACTGTGCCACCTTCCAATCTTTCTCGAAGTAGTTAAGCCTAATTTCGCGAATACAGGATGGTTTTTCGAGTATATTCTTGTAGAGGCAATCAAGTAGATCATTTCTAGGAAAAACCCGGACTCAATATTCAAATTCTGTCGAGAGAAAAAAAGCCGCGAAAAAATCCGCAACAATTATGCATCAACCTAATAATAACGTTCGTATCCCGGAACTACCGACGTAATATCGCTGCTGTTAACGGGGTTCTCGCTCTGCGCGACTCTTAGACCTTTCGATAACATTATTCACCACCCAAAAGGGTAAAGACATTTTTTGCTCCCAAACTGGGACCGGGAAAAGCCTGAGCCTGTGGTAGGCGAACATTTCACTACTGAACCACCGATGACCCTTTTCGATAGGGTTTTATAATCAGGGCTAGTTTCCGTTGTACTCGGATGTACCGCGAAAATTGTGTAGTATCGATCAATGGATCGCTGTTAGTCGATACACCAAGGTGTGAACTGATCATGTTGTATTGAACTAGTCTTCTCGAATTTGAATTACCAACGTTTTCCACGACATTTTCCATACCTTTTAACGGAGACTCTCTGGACCACATTCGAGCCATTGGGGGGATCTCACCCAATGGTTTTCAGTTGTGTGTGATGTGAGTCCTGTCGTTCAAGCATCTACTGGATTGTAATGGGTAGGTGTGCAGTAGAAAAGAACTACGGTTTCTTTTGCTTCTTCTATTAGCTGCTTTACCTGACAGATACGTTTTATTTAATTAGTAAAAAACGGAGCAATTCCCATGTTAATTTTATCCGCGCTAGCGCTACTTCGCTATCACTCACGAGGTTGATTAAAGGAATTTTCGGCCTCAATTTGTTTTACAATGTTTTTGCCAAAGTTATGCCAATTGAAATTGCAAGTAGTTCTGATTCTGATTTCGTTTGAACTGACTTTTTTGGTGTTAGACGAGTCTTTCCGCTAATAAGATGGGAAACTGCGTGTCGTAGACTTGCAGATACGCACATGACCCTATTCTTAATTTGCTTGCGCTGCAGAATACCCACAGGATATGGCGCTTGTTGGTATCATTGGCTGCGCGGCTTGGGATCGTGATGGCACGTCATTAATTTCTCGACAGACGGTATTCCACTTTTGTCACTATTCTGCAGCTAGAAAATCATTCCATTTTGAAGTCGTGGTCGTTTCATATATTCCCCTCATAAACGACTTCAATTTTACTGGAGTGGCTCTGTGAGCATATTGAGTTCAGCTGGCTCACAATATCTCGTTTCATCAGATAATCTTTTTGCGCTACTGTGGTGCTCAATTGGGATTGGCCTGCTCCTGTGGTGAATTCCACCCCCAAAAGTTTTATTTCTGTTCCCTGCAAACGATCTCGTTCTGGGATGGCTGCATTGACTTCGCTTGCATTTGAAACGTATTCAAGCAAGTCCAGTTGGAGCAGGACTTACGTCTGTCGCTCACAGTCAAAGCGCTGCGCACTTTGGACGACAACATCGAGTCCCTGTTCAACATCGTTGGTGGATCTGGCCGTAGCTTCGATGACACTGAAGGAGCCACACTAACAGATCGCTTTGCGCCTAAGTCGCAGTGCCTTTTCTAATCAGATTATAGGTTGCGCAGGCACATCTACATCTGATGGTGTAGCGGGAAGGAGAGCTCTTCTGTCATACACTAGTCTTGCCTATATATTTGTTTGTAGTCTTGCCTATATATTTGTATACAAGATAGAGCAAAGGGGAAAGGGTCAGGACGAGGTGGCCACGGCCAGGGCGATGTTCCACGACGACGGAGATGAGCAAATCGACCCGACTGTGTCGATCCAGCCACTTTCATATCGGTCTTGTGCGACGTTGCGTAAGTGATTGATGGGGGCATCATGATGAGGCGGCAGCGAAGCGAGGACTCAACAGCTCCATTCCTTACAGTAAGCTCGACCTCAAGCTTCGATTGTGGTTCAGGTATGGCACAGGCATTCTCTAAGAACATAAACCTGCAGAAAAACAGATGTGATGCCTGGTAGGACATTTGTGCTATATACGAACATTGAAATACAAATATTAAGTTGAAAGCTAAGAAAAACGGCAAAGATTGTGCCAGTGGATACATCGCGTTGAAAAGAATAAGTGGTGAATTGGAACGGCTGGAAAAGTAAGATGATAATTGATTGGTCCTTTTACTGTGGGCGTGCATAATATGCTGCTGCATATAAGGAGGGGTCATCAAGTAGAAGGAGTATTTGAAATACGCTTTTCTTCTGTGTGGTCTGCTGAGTTATTGTTTATCTGTTAAGTCCCCCATCTAAAATGTTCTTCACTCCATCATCCACCATTAAAATTATTTAATATTTTTGTTTCAGAATCTAACAACCTAAAGATCATGAACTCAATCCCCCGTTATTTACACGATTTTGCGACTGTCCCGAAGTGGGAGGGAGAAGATTCCGACGACAGTACGGAACGAGATGCCGACAGTGAAGGCTCGTATTCCGACCATGATGAAAAGAGGTGATCCCTGGTTTCCCCTTCATTTCAATGGTTGTAATGAACCTTCCAGTAGTTTTCAGATGAAAAATTTTATTACTTTTTTTTCAGACAACATGCACTGTGTGTGGAAATTGCGCCACACATCGTGAACACGTGCAAAACATCATGGTTGCCGCCATGGTGACTCTGATGAAGACTATCCATAGCGGAAAGCGGCTCGCTGCGTATCGCAGGCGATGATCCCCTCACGACCTCCTCTGGCGGGGGCGGACCACCTGGGCGCTTGGGGACAAGCCCACCACTCTTCGATATAACTTCGCCCGTAATAAACTCGCGCTCTCAATAAATATCCTTCGAATTGCACTTGTCTATCTCTCACTACCACTATAAGTCCACTGAACCACCGCGAGGTGCTTATAAAAGGGTCCACCAAAACCCTAGTCTCAGCACCCGCAACATAATGAAGAACTGCAGGACTTAGAGAAGACGCGCGAGCGTATGCACTACGCGTGTATGATGTATCTGTGGAGGGTATTTAGTTTCATTTTATGATCCAGATTTGAATAAAGTATTTACTGTCTTCTTTTTCGGCAGCTGACTACCAGAAAGCAGAAGCTCAGCAGCTCAGGTATGTCAACTTTGGGCTGCTGCATAGCGAAGCTACGCCATTGCAGCTGCCCCTTCTCAATGGATGCCCAAGGAACACTTGAGTTGTTGGAAAGTGGAATTTTATTTTTAAACAATTATTTAATTGTGAAGTTTTCATTTATGCTTTTTCCCCAGGGTTGTGAGACCTTGCATATTTAAGTGTCGGCGACCTCCAAGAGTTTTTGTCCTATAAGAAAGCTGTTATTTTTTGCTAATCAATTTAGTTAGCATGTCGGCACATTCATATTTGACCCCGGAGGATTTCCACATCATAGTGGTTCAAACGCTGATAGCAAGTATTGAGGAGAGAAGACTTACCTACCTTTCCATCTAATTACTCTCTGTCTTTCAGCCGACAGCCTGTGACCAGTGCCCGTCCAGGTTAGGAGAAATTAGCCTGTTACAGGCTCACAGGCAGGTAATCGTTCCGTGGAGCAGAAAATTAGGTGCCCAAGCCGATGCGCAAGAAAAGCACGCCGCTCCGATGAAGAAGGAGATCAGCTCCTTGCACGAGGCCATCGCAGGGATGGAACAAGTACTCCGCGCGGTATGTGATCCCGATGATATTTTTTGAATGTTTGTTGTCCCCTTTCTTTCATCATTTTTTTTTAGGAACTAGCGGAGGTAAACCGAGGTACATGGGAGATTGAGCGCGCATTCAGCATTGATCAATACATTGCTGAGGACGACCGTCTGAATGGTCCTCCGGAATTACCGCGCAGAGATGACGAGAGAGGACCAGTGCATTCCGAAGAATAGGAACTCTTTGTCAAAAGCAATTCATTGTTTTGCTTGGTAATTATTCATATGTTATTGAGAGTGAAAATGTCACTCTTGGATACTTATGCTTACTATAGTCGAACTCGCGTAAGTGCGAGAGTGACGGTTGGCAGCTGGCGTGAGACGGCCAAGCGCTAATAAGCGCAACTGTCATTGGTTGCCGACACTGGGTTTCGAGTGACCCGATACGATCAATGATGTGGGTCGCTACTCATTAATCTGATTAGGGAGTGAGTCGGGCATACGTTCTGCTTGGGATTAGAGTTATATGTAAGTGATCAGATGATCATTAGTCTCAAGATACGAAATGTCGTCACAGGATTAGCGATCTCGGTTGGAGTTTCCGAGTGACAAATGGCAGATGTTGGTGAGCTATGAATAGCGTACCGTATGCAAGGATCCGAAGGAATTGAGATTGGTAAAATCTCCGAGTGCGCAAAGAATAAAGAAATCCGCTAAGGTCTCATTCCTGAAGATAGTAAGAGTGAGGAATGGTGCTTCTGAGTTCCGGTTAAGTGAAATACGTCAAAATAGCGACTGAGTACCTTGATTTATTATTAACGGCCTCTATATATGCGATATATCTATTTTACTAGACTGTAGATACAGGGTATCCTACGGTGCTTTATTATTGTAATTACCTCAATATTGGTACATTTAATCTCATTCGTAGGATCTATTTCGAGAGTGCTACTGTATCCTACAGTACTGCGACTATATAATGCGGTAGATCCGCTCATATCGCTCATATCCGGCTTCACCTAACTGCCAAGGGCAGTTCTCTCGTTTTTGGTTATTCAGTAACAAAGTCTCTAAGTTTGGACTTTAACCCCTAGACAATCTCTACCGGCTAAGCCTAGCATACGCGAAAGACTGATCCTAGACTAGTAATAACTTTACTCAATGGTATAATGGATAATTATGGATGTGGATATAATATGAATGTGGTTCGACTTTAGGACGCACTCGGAACGACAGCAAGACGCACTGATCAGAGCCGTCCGTGGGGCTAATACTACATTTTCAACATTTTCATCATTATCATTTTTTTTTTGTTTTTTCCCCATGTTTCTCCTCTTACCTGGTAAAAATTCAATGTTATGTTCGAACCTGAGTAGGGGTGCTAAAAAGAAATGTTGGCGTTCTTGACAGTTAGCAGCACCTCGAGGCCACCTCTTATGGGTATACATTTAAGATGACAATGGGCCGTAATAAGCTTGGGAACTCGTTGCCTGGACGACATCCGTGATACTTGAACACAACAGAATTAAGAGTGTGCTGTGCTCTGGATGCACACAGTAACTCAAACCCTAAAAATATGAAGGCGGTACGTACAGTGCCGCCACTCATTAAAAAATGGTGTGGACATATCGAAGAAAGATTGTTCTCTTCTTGAGAGTTATCTATTCCATTTCAATTTGTTTATATAATATTTGAATGATCGACTTATCTGACAGTTGTTGAAGTTTCCTTGTCCTATATTGAATCTATTCGTTGCCGATGTAGTTGTTTTCATTCGGAGACCAGTCGGATCGCCCAGCTAACGCCGGGCTCTCCTCCTTCTTATGAAATGCCCGGCTACGCCGGGCATCCTCCTTTTCATGTAAAGTCGGATCGCTGGCTAACGCCAGGCTATCCACCTTGTTGTGTCAAACACCCCATCCCGAGAAATGTTGAACTGAAGAATTTTTTCCCTTTTTCAAAGTTAATAAATTTTAAGTTTTTTTCCGCTGTTCAGCTGAATTTAAGTTTTTCCGGTGTTCAGCTGAGTTAGAGTATGAAACTGAAACAGAGCTTGAAATAGAATATGTCGTCGTAGCATATCACATAGTCGCTCGGGCTTCCCTCCTTCTTTTACAAAGTTGCAGTGAGTCGGCTAACTCTCCACTCCATTTTTGTTTCCTGTACACGAAATTTGACATAGAACTAACAGGGCAGTACAAATGATATTAAGTGAAAGTTCGTGTTTACGCCTTCAATTGAAAGAGTCGATCTTCTGCTCT